AAAACCATGTGGTAACTTTGTGTTTCATAGCACTATGGAACCCCCACACTTTAGCTACATGAAACCAAATCTCAGTAGCTACAAAGCTATTTTCAAAAGTATTCTCTACAGCTAGTTTTCAACATGGACACAGAAAAAAATAGTACTGACATTCTTTGTTGTACACAATTTTGAATCATTTTTTGGGAAGATGACTGTAAATCATTTGGGCAAAGAAAACATTTCCATAGATGGCCAAATCACCCCACAGCCGAAATGCATCCACACAACAACTAAAAATAAAACAGAATTATGCATCAAACTAACCTGTGTTATCTATTACGAAGTGAAAAAAGAATGCAGCTCACACTGAACACAAACCATAGCATGCTCCAAAGGAAGACCACGTTAGCCTACATCTACCAACCGATAATGTAAAATCAACAATTACAACCAAAAAAAACCTATTATACAAAAGCCACTTAGGCACAGGTCCACACATAACTTCAGTATAACTGGTCACTGTCACTTGTTGTTGATGTAGAAGATTAGCAGAGAAACAGAAACCTACAGAGAGAAATGTGCCTGAAGCATAAGCCCTCTCTCCCACATACCACCAAGATCCTATTTCATGTACTTACTGGAAGCCACACACACAGGGCAGAACCTCAGTATAGGTTCCAAAAAAGCAAATTAACTTTTCTCAAAATAATTTATTGAACAACCAGAAGAGAAAGGAGTAATTTCTATGAAAGAGATAAAATCTACTCAATGCAGCAATACTGACCATTAAAAATCACCCATCAACAGTCATCTATGCCTGACACAGTATCAGGGTGTTTCCGTAATAAGATGAAATTGCGGCACGATGAAAGGGGGTATAGAGGCAAGAACACTTCCCCCTTAAAAACAATATTAATGCAGCTGCAGCATGCATGTTCTCAGGTATTTTTCTTTACATTTATCTATACATTTAAAAACCAAAATTCTTTCATTTTACTTCAGGAAGGAGAGAATTTTTCTCCTTCATACACAAATGCACATCTATCTACATAAAAACAACTTCTCACAGAGCTAAGAGGGAAAATTGTCTCCCTCCTACAATTTCCTTTTTCACTCTCAAATGTCATATGATACATAACACCTAGTTACTCGTACGTATAGAGTAATAAATGACTTCATACACTGTTGTATCAGAAGACATATGGAATGTTTGTAGTATTCCTAAAAAAAATGCCAATTTTAGGATAGCCCACATACTTGAGCATTTGCTTCACTTTCATCTGCCAAAAAATGTAATAGGATGAGTGTTTGGTGCCTAGCATTATTTTTTGATTCTTATTTGTAACTGGAATTACTAAACATTTTATTAGGAGAAAATTTACTTGAAAATGTAACTTATGGAGAGAAGCAACTTCAGTGTTTTCACCACATCTGTTTCCTCTTATACAAGCCATACACAATATGTAACAAATGGACAAAGGGAAATTAGACATCTAAAACCAAATATAACCACACCAGAGTGATCTAGTTAAATGAGACTGCATGTTGTAAATGTTTTTCCCCAGTTAATATTCTCAGTGTCTAAATTTCCCTCAATGAAACTACCTACTCATGAACATGGGTCCTTTAAAAGGATTTCCCATACACAAAATACAACCAAACTGTGAAACTCACTGCCACAGAATGTTATGGACGCCAGAAGTATAAATACACTTACCAATTAATTTGAGAAATGCATGGAAGAAGTATCTTTTAAGTGGAAAGGTGTGAATGCAACACAACTAGGAAATCCCTAAAGACTACTGGAAGCTGGGAGAGGATAATGGCTGAGACATCACTGTGTGCCTACACTTGCACGATGGTACTGAGAGCTGACCATGGTCAGAAAGGGACACTTCGAAAAATGAGTCTTTGGTGTGACTCAGTGCAATTCATGTCATGCAGATCCAAAGTAAAGCTTTTATCTGAAACACAGTCTACTCTATTCCATTTCATGCTGTGTGTCATACATAGGTTTTTTATATATTAACTGAAACACAATGCTAATCAGAGCAATGAATTGTCTACTGAAGGCAATGTACAGACAACTACATGAACCTCACTGTCACTCTGTATACTCGCATTTCACTAAGAGCAACTCTGTGTTGCTCACCTATGGACAACACCTTTATTAACAGGAATAAAACCAAATAGATCGTATAGGAATACAAAGTGAGAGGAAAATGAAATGAGGATTAATGTAAATTAGTAAGAATGTTACAAAATTAAGAAAGTTGCTCTACATTTTCAACCATAAAATAGACTTCAAATATATTCCCCCATTTAAACATAAACCACACTACATTGTCTTGCAAATCAAAAGATCTATATTGAACCTATATTCACATAATGTGTTAATAAGATTTCAAAACAAATAATTATTTTGAATTACTTTTTAAATCCTTTCAACAAACAGTAGTCATCATTGTTACAATTCAAGTCCATGATGAGATGTTTCTGTAAATAAAAAGAATGTCCCATACTTTCTGAGTACAGTAAGTGATGCTAAAGTATCTAAGAAAATCATAAGTCTTTGGATGTGGCAGCACATAAAAACACTCAGTCCAAGAGCAAAGCACCCTAGATTATGGGCAATTCCTCTTACTCAACGGTGTCATACATCAGTTCCCTAAATAAGAGAATACAACTAGAATTTTCTGTGCCATATTTGAATAAAAATTAAAAGCAAGCTTTATAAAACCAGATTAAAAAATGCAATTATTTTTAAGCAAGAGGATTATGCTAGATGGTAGAAGGGGAGCACCATTTTGATTAACAATAAAATAGAATTCCTTTAAAAGAGCAAAAACTTAGCCAGAGCAACACCACACAGCAAATGTTCCTGTGGGGCTACACTCCTCTCATGATCTAATGTAAATAAGGAAAAATATCAGGATAATGAAACAGACCTGGAAATCAGAATTTGTGACTTTGGTTTTCCAAATTTGATAAGGAAAAATAAAGTAAAATCTGAAAGACTAGAATGGCATTAAAAGTCTGTCTCCTGCTCTTTAAACAAGGGAGCCAACCAACTATATCATGACATTAAATAAAAATTAAAAAGAGATAGAAAATCATTAACGACAATACTAACCCATGGACACCAATTGTAGATGTCTACCCATGCAAATTAACCACAAAAATTCCAAAAGGACCAGGAAGCTAAAACATCAAGAAGTACAAAAATCCCTGCACTTCAGTGGAGGATTGCAAGTTTAAGCCTATGGGGTACAGTTCATTTATGAGTGCTTTAGCAGAGAAGGAGAGAATGTTCCTCAGGTATAACGCACTAGTAATTAAGCTGCTACATGATGAGCATGGTAGCCTTTAGGTTCTATCACATACCATTCTGCCTTATATTATTAACATTGCTTTGGTTAAAAACAATAGTAGTACGTGCTTTAACTTTGTACTCTGGATAGCTGCCTGTTGGACTTGACTTTCAGAGGCTTCCTGAATGCAGGATATTCCACATCGTACAAAAGGCCATAAATAGCTTAAGCATCACTCAAAACTACCAAAAGATATCCACAGCTGAGCTACAAACTGAAGTGGAGGAACTCATGCAGACAATACAACCTTGGCAGTCAGTAAGGTGTAGACCTCCCAAACTTCCTGGTTGTTTTTCCTCTCACTTTGGGTATATAAAAAAGGGGAAAACAAGGCCTTTTTAAATTTACAGACTGATATTGGGTTTCTTAGCAGTCAGCCCTGTTTCAGTTATGGGAAGATTATTTTCACATGATGGATAACAGAAGTAAGCTGAATTTATGTAAAGCATTATGTAAGAGTCCAGACTAAACTGCAGCTTGTTTTCACCAACAACATGCTTGGGAATCAAACAGATTATAAACATTAAGAATAAAAAAAAGAAAAAAAGCCATGTGATTTTACTTAGGATCTCAGTAAGGAGTCAATGTGGGCCAAGAGGCTCACTTTGCAGGAGGTATCATTGCAATGATACCAAGGCACAGGATTGCTCACCATGTTCCTTGACCATATGTCCTCCAGGTTCTAGTTTTTCTAGCTTTGTTTGGTACCTGGGCATAAAATCTTAAGCAGATGGAAAAATCTGCGACTGATAGAGATGTTCAGGGACAATGAGGGTGGCATAAGAGCAAGTATTGATGTATTAATGGATCTCTGATATTACTAAGTTTTTGTACACTAATCTTATGCACCAACGCGGAAACAAAAAGTCCCATTAACATAAGCAGTTGTCTTCTAACCTGTTACCATAATTTCCATGTGGCTTTTTCAGCACAGTTTAAAATCACAAATTTTGTGAATTATAAGCATTTTTCTAAATCACACCATAAAGAGATACCTGCATAAAGTAAGACGTTATTGTATTATAAAATACACTTTTGAAATAAAAAGTTTAGTTAGGACTCATTAGAAATGACCACCTCAATTTTTCAGGAGCACCCTTCAGGGTATGGAATTAGTGAGTACTTCTGTGGTAGTTTAGTCTAGGCCTTCCTTGGTGACCAGTTTGTAACCAAGGAAGTGCCCAGATTTACCCAGTATTCCCTACGATTTTTACATAAGCCGGGCTATAAGAAGAAAGGAGGAGAGGCCTTCACCCCTTTTTCCTTCCGGCGGCTTGGAGGTACAGGTTCCCTGCTGTCGGGTCTGTCGGGTTGGGGAGCGAGGCCTGGTGAGGCCTTGTCGACCTTGGGAGACGGAGGTTGCCGGCGATCGTTCCAGAGCGATTTCTGTTGTCCCAAGGAGAATAGTAAAATATTCTTTTGCTAATTCTTTTAGTTGCTAGATCTTGGGCTATTGATCGTTTATATTTTACTTTGTTTTTGTTCCTTTTTTTTCCTTCCCCCTTCCCTTTTCCTTTTAAAATTGTACATATATTTCAATTGTATATAAATGTAATATAAGTGTAAGTATATTTATATATATTGCTTTAGCTGCCTCTCTCTCGTGAGGTTTGGAGACTTGGCAGGGAGCCAGCTTCAAACCACCTCAACTCCATATTTTAAAAGACTTGTTATTAGTTCTGTAGGTCTAACCCTTGCTGTACCACTGTCAAGTGTTTTGGATGAGTAAAATTTTGTGTGCTAATCCTATCCCCAGCAAAGGCAACTAGAAACTGTATTTCCCTGTCTGTACCATTTAGGTAACACTTATTTTGACCAACCTTTGAGAAGGAGAAATAAGTTACATTCATCAAATTATTTGAAAACTCAGAGCATTATAAAGAAATTTGTTAACAGAACTTGTGAAGAACACACCTTTGGTGAAAAAGGTATGGTATAATAAAAATCTAAATACAATCTTCAGCTAACCAGAATGACTTTTCATGTACTAGAAGGAGGAGTTGCATCTTTCAGCAATCTCCTCTCTAAAGCCTTTTTATAACCATGAAGCATGTGGCGAAGAATCAATGCAGTGAGATCAGGCCGAAGTTTATTGAGTTACACAGAGATCTCATTTATCTTTGGTTTTGGAAGGCAGGGTTAGGTAGGCTATATTTTCACATTAACATCTGTAGAGCATTCCAAAATCCTGGCATGGCCAATGACATGGAAGTTCCAGGTCCTATGATTTATTGTCCTCCAGTAGACATAAATTAGTCTGTATAGATGGAATCCTTTCACTTCAACTACAGTAGATAATGCAAAATAATGTTAGCTGACAAGTTTTTTTCTTCACTTGTTTTTTTGAAATTAATTTACGAGTCATTACAATTTTGTTCAGCATTAAACCTCTGTATGTGTATCCACAGACATTCTCCACTCATCCATTTGGCTGAAATTAAGACAAGAAACAGCTGAATAGGTCCTACAGTGCATTTGCATTCCCCTGCATTCAACAGGCAAACCTACATCTAATAATAAATACTGAAGAGAACAGAATGAGTCCATGGGTGTCAATGGTGAGTTTGATCACAAAGCTTTACTGAAGCTCACAGTTAAGTGCTTTCATTACTGAGTTCCTTTTATATATGGGTAGGATCTGACCTTCCCTTCAGACTGCCCAGTAGTGTTAAGTTCGTCTGATCAAATAATTTCACTGAAGCCTTCATCTGAAACTACAGATGAAACTATTCATAAGCATACATAACTAGCAATGACTTCTGTTCAATTAGATTTTTTATGCAGTGGGTTTAAAATTCAAATGGGAAAGAAAAAAGTATGAAAGAACACATTTGTCGAAACTGAACTTTAGCATGGTGTTCCCTGCAATCCAGGGAAATAAGACACAGCATTTTACTAACCAATTTTCCCAGCTGAGTTAAACATCAAAATACCTTCCCTTGTAGTTTACACAAAGGCCAGACACAGAGACAAATGTACAAAGTATGACATTAAACATACTGGAGTTATTAATGGAATAAATGCAGCAGTCAAAGGCTCTCTGAAGATAAAAGCATCACTCTTTCCCGTCTCCGGAACTTTGCCCAAATCACAGTCATATTTTCATATTTGTCAGGTTTTTTTCCTCCCTGTAATGAAAGGGTTTCCTTCATAATAGTAAATACAAATTAAGTGTTCCTTCTGTGCTTCAAAGTAAAATGGTTTCAGTAATGATGCAGACAGTACAGTGTGCATCTTTCTAAGGAAAGATTTACTGTTCAATTTCAATTTAAAATTTTGTATTGCTTCAGGGTTAAAAATACTGTGATGTAATCATGCAGAAATCAATTTCTTACAAGTGAATTTGTTGCTTTTTCTAGTATCTAGTTCTGTGTTCGCGAAGGGTCACATTTACTAATTAATGCTCAGAGTAAGAGGTTTTATAATGTAAACATATGTGCTTAAACACGAGTCTTGCATAGTCAACACTAAAATAACCTTAAAAGCTTCAATGTAGAATGCTAACTAGACTTGGCCTTAAAATCCTTTTTGCAGGAGAAGTAACTGAGCTAGAAAGAACAGTTATATCAATCACTGATTTGACAGACTGACATTTACATCAGTTATGACAATTTCTGGTCTTACAGACAATCCACAGAGTTTCTGTACAAATTTTGGCTATTATTGCATTGAACTACAACCAAACTTTAAGCAAGATGTCTAGTCTAGCTTTAAAAATTGCAGAAGCTTCAACACAGGAGCAAGTCACTGTGGAAAAAAGAGATACTCTATTTTTGAGCATCATGCTGACAATTTCCCCTGGCCCATGACAAATTCAAGATGGTTTACATCCTCTGAGAACTAAACTCATTTAGACTACTTTGTGTTTGCTGAAGACTAAGTGGGCATGGACTATGATCATGACTGAGCTGACCTGTAGCAAGTTCATGTTCCATTGCTACTGTCCTTTTTTTCCCCCCAAGCACCTATTGGAGTGTGCAAAATTATTTCTGTATTTCACTCCCTCACATTCAAGATCCCCTTCTATTCAAAATATTTCACGTTTACTTACAGATGACAGTACAGTAATTTATGAATTGTTTATTTGAATTCACAAGGGATATAGCTTCTCATCTTAACTAATAGCAAGGGAAGGGATTTTGCCGTATCTCAAATCAGATATTCTCAACACTTGACTCTGAAAATCAGGTTCAAGACTGCTTAGAAATGCAGACAAAACCCATTAAAAAGTAATTGGACCAATGAAGACAATGCTTTCTTTAGCTGAATTAGGAATGGCAGTTACAGTGCTCAGTATTCAAAGCAAGTTTTGCTGCCACCACTGCCCAAGAAAGTCTGCTGTCTTAAGGCAAAGCTGAAGCATCAGGGAGAAGACAGAAATGCTAAAAACATCATATCACTTCGTCTGTGCAATGTTTCATCTTACCACAGTTGCTCATGCAGTGAAATAATATGCTTAAGTGGTATACTTCATTTTCTAACTAGCCTCTCTGATAAAAGAAAAAGGAAAAAAAACCCTGTGGCTAGCGTACAGTAGACCTTCAAATCTCTTTTGGATTCCTTTTCCACACACTGAAACAGTGAGCTATTTTCTGTCCCCCCACTCTCACCCAGAAGCAATGTCTGCTTGTCACTTAGATGCTCACGAGAGATATAAGTAGTAACAAGTTGTTGATTCCAATATTTAATTTATTGCCAAGAGTAGAAGCAATACGCAAAATTCTGTTTGACTATGAGCAGTCAGCAAATTAAATACCACCACAAACAAGCCTGTACTCTTTAAGTGTAACTTAACCACATCTTACAGCTCTTCTCCTTTATGGCAGCAAGCCCTCACACAATGAATGTCTAATGAAGCTGCAGTGTCTCTACACTGTCTTGGATATCTAGATCTCTTGACATAACACAACTGAACTGTTTCTTGTTTGCTACATCTGCAATTCTTTTTATTATTAGCAAATTTGCAGTATACTTGGTGACACACTGTGACTGAGGCTATGCAAGGCAGTACACATGCATGTTTTTCTCTAGCACAAAACTTTTTTGAGGCCTGCAGTCTGACTCTCAAGTACAAGTGTGAAAAGACTTTCCAAGTCTACAAAGACTTGGAGAACATTACCCAGATGTGTTGTTAGAAGACTTGAAGGACATGTATTATGGATTTTCAAGGGACTTATCCACTGTTAAGCACCTCTTTGGAGGTGTGAGGGAAGTGAAATGTCAACTATGCTCATAAGCTGGGACAATTTTTACAGTTACAAGTAATTATTTCTTTATAATTTCTTTCAAAGTCTCAAGCAAAAGCTTAATTTTTAAATTGTTATTTTTTTTATGTTTTCTAAAAGCTGCATCAGGTAATACATATTATTTTTGGTCTGAACTTGAGTGACATTTATTTTAATGTTCAAACACTTTCTGTTAGGTGTGTATTTCAGTACTAAATGTACATTTTGGTAGTAAGCATAAAATGCCTGAGCTGAGGTTCCACAGAACCACAGTGCGCTCTCTACAGTTCTCAAGAACACGTTAAATAAAAGCTGGTTTTACAGCTCCCTGAACTAAAGCTAAGATTTTTAACTTTATTTGAAAAATAAATATATGAAAAACGTGATTATGAGCAAATGTCTATCAAAAGTTTTCAATCTGTAGAAATTTCCTAGAGATTCAGAAGGAAGACAGATTCAGCATTGTAATGGCATACAACTGTCAGTATGGTTGTAGGAAAATGAATCCAAAGCCCATAAGATCTCTACAAGCACTTCTAATTCCTGCAATAAACTTAGTAAGATAAAAATAGAGCAATGAGAAAATTGAAGTGCAATATTGATGGAGCATCGCCAGTCATTGCTTTCATTCAAATGGGGATGTTTTGTTTGAGCTCCCCCATTGCTCACTGCTAGAATAAACTGCCTAGACAAGTTCCAAGCCTGCAGGTGTTCCACAGGCCAAAGTCAATATTTTAAATACCACTCCAAGAATACCACCAGCATTATTAACTTACAATTTTATCATGTCTCAGGATATTTGCTGATTTTTTTTTTTCACACCCCAGTTTCTGGAGTCATGTAATGACAAGAAAAACTCACCTGTTGTATTAAGTGAAAGCAGTTGCTGGAGATAAAGCCACTTAAATAAGGAGCCTACCACGTTCCTTACCAGCTCTGGGTTATGAAGGTGGGTTAAAACGCAGTTCAATACAATGCATGTTGCAAACATCTAATCACAAGCAGACAAAAGAAGTCTGCACTAGACAGTGCTCCACTCTCAGTCTCCTATAAAAACACAGATGGTAAAATGTTTCTTTGGCCACTGATGCTACTTGATCATTGCCAACAGCTAGAAATCCAGTAGGATTTGTAGCTCATGAATACTTCCACAAATTTTCTGGTAGTTTCCCTTAAACTAGAACCAGTATTTTCTTTCTTTTCTTTTGACTGAGCTTCTGCCAACCAACTTACTTTTGTGCAGCAACCACTTCTCCAAAATACAGTGACAGACTGCTCAGACCATCTTAAAAGAAAAAATCTTGTGTTGATAGGATTATGACAGCAACAAGCCTGTAGCTCTCTATTCCTGTTGGATTTTGATGCCAGGAGAGTTCCCCTAGGAGATAAGAACTTCTTCAAACTCCCTGGGGGAATGTTTTGCAGGAAAGGAACACTTCAAATCTGGTTTGTCCGCTGAACCAACAGTACTAAAAGTCTGTTCGAATGCTATAGCAAACACATGAAGTACAGCACAGGCAAGTAACTTTACCTTACAAATCATATCGTTTTCATTTCCTGAATTCATAACCACAGTGATGCAATAATGGAAACTTTTATATGTTTATAAGTTAGATGACCCACAATCATTCCCTACAGTAAGCACTAGTAATTTCTGACTATTAAAATAATTGTTATATTCTATTGCTATGGTTTGCTTAATGGGGGAGTTTTCTATTTCACATACCATATTACATAAGCAACAAGATTTCCTACCTTAGCCAACAGTACTGGATGTGACTAATTTCTAACATCCTTTTTTGAAGTCAAAATAAACATCCACTCAGTTTTCTTTGTTTGCCATCTCAACACTCTAAGCAGGCTGGCCTTCTCACAAATTCATGTTGGTTGTCTCTAATTAACTTTTTTTTCTTTTTAAAATGTTTGAATTACATCCAGTTAGATTATTTCCATTTAAACTCCCTTTCATCTAACATTAATCCCCAATTGTTGTATTTCATTTAAATGACAATCCCACGTTATAATTTAAATTAAACTTTCAATTAAAATAGACTGTTCAGATTTACAAAAAAAAAGTCATTGATGTGGCGAATTATGATGGGAAAAACGGAGATACCCTCTTCAAAACTCTATATACAAAGTACTGTATTATAGGATCAGATCTTAAAACACTACCATGTCTGATCAAGAAAGTTAATATGTACAGTTATAGAATACTTAGAGGGATTGCTTTAGGATATTATTTTGTAATCCCCCACTTCTTCTTAAATTACCCTCCATCTCAGTATCTTGTGCTAGTTAGAGGTAGAAGTTAATTTGCTCTCTCAGCTTCTGCCATAGCTGCCTCACCTATGTAATTAGCAAAACTGCTGACAAGACACCTTGCAGATTTTCTCAAAGAGAGTTCCTCTGAAGGAAAACAAACCTGTCCTTCTGTAGAATAACACTCAAAGTAGCTGTGCAAGGTTGGTTTCTACTCTTCACACTGCTAACTAATACTTATGCATCTGCTTCACACCTTCAGTGCAGTAGCTGCTTTCCAGACACTTGAGAAGGGCAGCCTGTTATCTTTCAGACAGCAGATCAAACTAGATGTGCCATTTAAGCAAAATAACCACAGAATAGCTTGCTAAAAGTAACAACCGCACTGAGGCTCAACAGATGAGATGCAATGAAGAAATTCTGTCTATACAATCTGCTTCATCCATTTCTTTTCATAATTAATTTTAATCTTTGCATCCTATGTCTCATACTTAATTTGTTTAATTGGCTGAAGTCTAGAATGGCCTCCAGCTGTCTAGACCATTGAACTAGGAATGCAACCCTGCACTAGCTCAAAGTACACTGCCCCAATTTTTGCTCCTGGAGATTCATGTGAGCAGTTATTCACACTGCTTGTGAATAACTAGTTTGTCTAGTTTGTGTTTGCAAGGTACTTCCTGTTCTATTTGTTTTAATTGCCTACCTGTTATTCTACCAAAGCATTACCTGACTACCAGTGTATTTACCATAAATACACATCTGTTTTGCAAACAATTATGGGTTTTCTTGGTGTGGATCTTCTATCATTCTGTTCTTTCATTTGCTTACAAGGTATATTTTATGGTCTTCTATGACATTAATTATATTATTGTGTTTATTTGCTTCACTACAATGAAGTATTTATCTTTCCTCTCCCACATCATATTTTTTCTTTTTTACAGGTGCATGACCACATGGCATAAGAGCAGAAAGTTTCTGCATATTTGATCTTAACTTTCCCATACACAATCTCTGCTGGAAATTTTATGTGTTACATTTATTTTTCAGAGTCAGTTCTCTGTGGCACTTTAGTAAATAGTCATTTAACTTTTATGCCTAAGAACACTGTGATTTTAAAATACTCAGCATTACAGATTTTGATTTTCTTAATCAAAACACAATTTACCATAGCTCCTAAAGTTTCACTCATTGTTCTACTTTCTGACACAGGAGATACAATTGGGCTGTGTACCTGTGGTTTAGGGTGTATTAAGCCAACATTTTCATGGCTTCATTTCACAATGTACATTGTGAACCAACAGTTCCTTTGAAATGCCAGTCCCTGAACACTTAAAAAAGGTTTTGTGATAAGGATCTAAGTCAAATTAGTTGTCTCCTTCTCTCTTTCCAGCAGAAAAGAGACTTGATGCACTAAGAGACTTCATCTGTCTGACTCTATCTACCCAGTAATTTGGCAGAGGAGATGCGCTTTCAATATACTAAACTCTAAGTCTCATGAAAATCAACAAGTGTGCAGAGGACTGTAATCACATTAACTGACCCACTCTAAAAGAATGGAGCCCAGATCCAAACCTGAAATTGAAGAATCCACAGAGAGATGTAACAGTGTACACACTTTAACTACAGAAAAGTCCCAGATAATCCTCAGATCAACTGTAAGACTCAAGTCCCTCAGAAGTCCATACCTTATGGAACATCTCCTTCCAGAGTTTTTCTCATCTTCTCACTTTAACGTAGCACTGCAGATTGTGCATCTCACTTCTAGTTTCCAACTTTTTTTGTCTGCTTATATATATTGTTTAATAATTTGTAAGTTTATTTTCTTGCATTTCTACATCCATAAAGAGAGTCACCCTTTTGTATGACTCTCTTTCAGTTATTAAGCAGTAAAACCTCAATAAAGTTTTCAATAACTGTTCCTTCAGCTTGTTTTTATTCCTTTTGATGATATCTGCTAAAGCTCTTTATATTCTCTTTCCCCACAACTCTCTACAGGTTAGGACTTCTGTTTTATCTGCATTTTAATACTTCTCAATTATATTTACCAGATTTAAAACCTATCTTTACATGTCCCAGAAAGCCCATCAAATTTTCTTCCAGATTATTCCTTCTATTTGATCCTTCCCACTCTTCCATTATCTCCATATATTGTCAAAATCTTTTGGACAGTCTGTAAAGGGATTACTCACTTTCATGACATTGTTATTTCTACTTACTTAAAAGTACAAGCTTACCACGTCAGTTGTGCAATCCTCCCTCCCTTCAGTTTTAGTCATCTCTTTTTCCTTTCTTGGGCCTCTGTACAGAGTTATTTCCTCTTTACTTTTTACATATTCTCCTAATTTTTTCAGCAACAAAATTCAGACATTACTGTAAATAAAACTAACAAGACATGTCTCAAGTCTGCTCAGGAAAAAAAAGTCAACCTTGATCCAATATTGCATCCCTGTATAAGTTACTCTAGTGAGGGGAACACTAGACTATTTTAAAAGAAACTATTTTAAAAAGAAAGGGACTGCAAACATCCCGGCCCAAACAATGAAGACAAAGGTAAAAATCTAGGCACAATTCTGAACAGAATCAACTAAAATGCATAAGAAAACCCACATAATTTATACTTGATCATTAGTAACATCCAAGTATCTGTAGGGAAATTTCCAGAAATTTACCAATTACTCCCAGTGTGTGAGTCTTTAGGTACAATCAAGTTAATAAATAAGTTGGGAAAAAAAATTAAAAAACCAAAATCCCTCCAATCAACACAAAGATGACAGGGGACAAAGTAGTGGCATCCAAAAAACCAAGTCTTTACCTTTGTATAAAAACATCAGGTTTTAGAAAAAAGAAAAGGTTTTTCAACTGTACAGAATTCCATAAGAAAAAAAAAAGTGGCAAAAAATTTAAAGTCTGAACATGGCATGGCAAAGTAGTCAAAAAAATACAGACTACAAAACTCCATGTAATTTGCTACTATGTTTTTGTGATAATTAGGAATAATGAAGTAGAAGTGAAAGTGGCAGACAGCCAGTATTTATCTCAGACTATAATGAATAATCATTTAAATTAAAACATTGTCAGAAAGAAGATATACCACTGAATCATTTAATAAAACCCCTATATTTGATAGTGTTTCTATTCACAGTACTTGGTGTGCTCAATAATTATATCTGTAATAGCATAGTCCTTCTCATGTATTGTTTCTTTCAAAGGAAGAAACTGAAGTCTCAATTTGCAACTATAATAGTAGCCCTAATTCATGTCTAAACATTAAGTCATTTAATATATAACAGATAGAAAATTTCTTGCTTGATTATATGGAAATAAAAAAGTGGTGGAACAGATTTATCTGGAGATTACTTAAAAGGGCGAGAAGTACATAATGTAAGATCTGTAGTCTGCAGCTCTACTGGGGCACTTAAGCAAGAATGGAGAAAAGAGACCTGCATTTTAATGACATAGCTGGCAATGAGATATGAACTTCACAAGGTTTCAAGGCAATCAACAGAGAACAGAGTGAAAGAAGCTGCAGAAACTAAAGCTAGCATCCACAACAAGTGCTCACATACTGAAAGAGATTGCCCATAATATCAAAGCAAAAGCAGTTTCAGGACACAAAACATTGCTGGCATAGAAGTCCTTATAAGTCTGAATATTACTACCACATTTTGAATTTCCTTCAAATTAGGGGCTGACTCCCAGTGGCTGCTTTATAAGATTCAAAGCATTATTTAGTTTTGATAATGTTAATACATATTTTTAAGGCATCCCCATTCTTGGGGAAAAATTGACAAGTTTACTAGTAAGAACATCATCTGGGCTCTCTACCATATGGAAATACAGATCAAATCTAAATGGAGAGCCTGATTTTCTTCAGACATTTTCGGAGTCAGTCCTGAATGGTAACTAACCATTCCTGATTATGATGCTGAGTAGAACAGACAGAACTAAGAGCAAAAAATTATATCAGCAAGCCTAGCACTAATAGAAATGTTCAGAATTGTGCATATTCTCAGGAGCTGAGAATTTTTTTTAGATTCAATGGGTATTTTCCAATTTAAATACCTGGCAATAACTTTAGACCTTTGTAGGCTTTACTTAAGCTACCACATACTTGGACGCAACACAGTACCCTTCTTTCTTTCTGCTGAAGCCAATTTCTATTCAAAGCAAAAGTATAAACCAGTTTCCAAATATCAGATTAGAAGAAAACAATCTGCAGTAATTATCAGTAATTATTAGTAGAATTACTTTAGTGCAACTCAAGA